TTGACATATTTCCGATGGCAGTGGTCATTGTTATTAGATAATGGGATGTCATTAGCAAGTTTAGGTCCTATTGATGAGAAATGATCATTGAAAGCATTCGACAAGTCGGATGGTTCAGATATAGAAGTACCATTTAGATTTATTTCTCTAATCGATAAATTAGCGGCTTTACGAGATGTAAGATCGTGGATGATTTGCCACGTTTTACGCGGGTCGCCATTAGTTTCAGTAAACTTATTGTTGTAAAATAATTCTTTAGCAGCTTTAATTTCAGTATTAACCTTGTTACGCATTCTTTTAAACTTGGCCCAATCGTGCGGATCATTCGACTTGATTGCTTTGATCTTTAATGTGTCACGATTATGCATGCGTTCTTTCAAATCAGCAGTAATCCACGGAGAATTTTTAGATCTAACGAATTGGAGCATGTTCGTCAACAATTTGTAAAAATTGGGTTTTCCACTCTGTCCACATTTGGTTGGGATCAAGAGCTGGAGCCAAAAATTCCCAGTTCTCATTGCAGATATCGTTACGAAATTTGGCACGATTGAAAGTTTTAAAGTTTAAGTTTTAAAGTTTGTTATCTTTCACAAGAATGTAAAATCCACATGGGTCTTTGTTTTAGTCCAAGGGGTCTTCGTTTTAGTCCAAGGGTCTTCGTTTTAGTCCACGGAGTCTTAGGTCTTCGTTTTTGGGTCTTCATTTCAGAAACACCCATAATATAATGGGAGCAAACACATTTCGATTTTCATTCAATGGAAGCACATGGAAGTGTCTCTGGCTATTTGGGAAACAGAAGAGCTTGATTATTACACTAGACTGAAGTTAATATAGAAGTGGACTTTTAAGCATCCACTCTGTAAGGAATAGTTGTACTAGAGCTTCTTTGATTTATGCTCTTGAAATCATGGTTAATCCTGGCATGTTAATTGATCGTTGCGGTGACACTATGAAGAATATAAACACGATAAAGAAGCCCTACTGAAGGACAACATTGAATCCTCGAAAAGTTATTAATTAAGCTTTATAAGATCAAATTCTTTATTTATTTTCAAAGAACGAAAACAATTTTTTATTTTGTTCTATTAATGCTACAAAGCCATCCAAAATCAGTCAAAAATAATACCCGCTGAGATGTCATGGCTACAGCTATGTTAAAAGAAATAAGGCAAATTTCAACTGAAAATAATTGAACACTGATAATCTGGGTTGTATAACTTTTAATCGTGCAGGTTCGACACCAATCAAAGAAAAAAAGAGATGCATGAAATGTGTGCTGTAAACAGAAGAGAAGAAAAATCAATAAACATTAATAAATTTGAACTACTTGTTATTTTTGTTATGATGACCGGTTCTTTGATTCTTGTTCTGTGGAAGTTAATGGTGGCCCATTCCTGTTTTGTGCAATTCCAGGAAATTTTCATAAACTCTGCAAGACTATGTTTACACGGGACCAGTTTAAGAGGGATCCACATGGATCTGGTCCAATAATCAGAACAGATAGGCCCGCTGTAGTGTTCTGGAACCCGGTCCTGTAGTTGGCAGATCTTGCATACGGGGGGCACACTTAAGGGCAGTTTGGGTGTAGCTGAGCCGCCAAGACCTTCAAACCCTGACCCTGTTTAAGACAAAATCCGTTCATTGATCTTCATTTTTCTACCGTGTTTAAGACAAGAGACTGTTTTTCATGACCCTGGTTAATACTGTAGCCCAAATGCCCTGTTTAAGGAGGTATTTTCTTTTTAGATAGTATAAAATACAGTACAAAATGGGAAAAAAAAAATCTATTTAATTTGTTTTTAAGTCACATACAAAAAGATTTTTTGGAGATTACTGACAGAACAAAAGTAGATTATTTTTAAAAAGTTCGTTACACACGTAGACGGCACACCGCCAAAATTCACACCCTTTTTAAGGCTTCGGGTCTAATAAGACACCCTGTTCAAGACGCTCAATAGTTCTCGCGGAGCGAAGCGAGTTTATAATTTTGTCGCGCGCGCAGCGCGCGGATCACGCGAGGATCGCAAGCGAACTGCAATTCATCCTCAGAGACCGGCCCAGGGGCGGTCAGTCGGGCCGGGAGAAAAGGCGCGACAAAAGTTTTCAAGCACAGGCGGAAAAGCACTGGGTACCGACTCTCACCGGACCATTTCCAAACGACTAAGAGAATGCTAGTTCCTGACTGGGCACAAAAAATGCTTTGTATTATTGTGCCCAATCGGCGAACAGTATCTCCTGAGTTCTTTTCGTGAGTTGGTACACGACGGCTATTATCTCGCCAGAGTTGCCCGGTTCGTTCACGAAGCTTTCCTAACTTGAAACGAAGGAACCACCGATGAGTCGAAAAACGTTTCGGATGCTATCAGCAGGAGCAATTTAATTTACAGTGGGAAAAATTATGTTTCTGACGGATCACAATGTATCGTAAATAATAGACATGCCTGGATCCTTTGGTCCCTGAGATCTGCAAAATGAGGCGTTCAGAAGTCTTGAATTGGCCCCCGAAGGATTACAGGTAGCCCAAGCTCACTATGAGAACCCTGAACAACATTATCCTACTTAGCTAATTAATTATTCATACGACAGTTTTTCACCCAGATGACAGTGGAGAGAAGAGAAGAGAAGGTTGGCAAACCTCTCTTGACCGGCTCCGCTCTCGACGGCGATAAATTCCGTAACATTTGCGACATGGAGACAATTCCGCCAGAAACAGATTTCCTCATAAATAACCCACATTTTCCATCATTCACATCGCCAAAATTCCCATTTCGAAGGTCCTAAATCGCCAACGAAGTGGACAATACACGGCTGTGGTTAGGCGAGTCGAGAGCAGACCCGCAACGGACTCCAACCGTCAAGTCGACAATTTCAAACCGACAGAGGTTGGCAGGGTCAAATTGTTCAACCGTCAAAGGACAATTGGAGCATTTAGCCTACTGGGCACAGTAACTGATGTTACACTTATCACATTGCACTCGCATCGCGTGTCAGATATATACTGACATGTTGCACTAGGTTGATCTCCACACTCTTCTTTTTAAAAAGCGTTTGACAATGGTTTTTTATGTATGATTTAGAAAAAAATATTGCAATAAGAATTACTACGGCTGTAAACAGTTGTTAGATATTTTTCTTCCCTTCTCTTCCCTTTTTCTCGACTGTCATCTGGGTGAAAAACGGATGCTCAACTTCTTCAAGGATTTTTAGGCGATAATGTTAGAAAATACATCATCCTCGTTAATAAAGGATTAAATTAACTGCAAAAACCGTGGACGAAGATCCTGCTAGTTGTAAACGTTGGATCTCTAGAAAAGAGATCAAATCAGCCAAAATATAAAGAACCAAGAACGAGAAGTCCAAAGACTACCGCAAAGCTGATTTAAAACAACGTGTACAGTATGTGGTCCTTGGTCCGCGCAAGTCCGCGATGCCCTTGGTCCGCGCCTTTTCTAGCCTCCCCGCAGACGTCCTTTGAGGTTCGTTTGCACGCATTCATTTCTCCCCCACGGACCGTGGGGGAGAAATGAATGTGTGACAAACGAACCCCAAAGGACTTCTGCGGGGAGGCTACGCCTTTTCCGAAAATGATAAAATATTTCGTCGAGAAAAAAAATACGTTGAACAATGAAAGATAAAAACAATATACGTTGTTTTAAATCAGCTTTGCAGTAGTCTTTGGACTTCTCGTTCTTGGTTCATCATCCTCGTTCTCTCCTTTGGCGACCAGGCCGAGCATGAAGCTACAGAGGACAAAACCCCTCTCTCTCCTGATGAATTAGTGGACACGTGGTTACAAACGTCTCCAGGCTGGGTTCAAACCTTCATCGACCAGATCGGAGAAGACAGAGTTATAAGCTTCAACAATAAAAGAGAGCCACACCGACAGTCAACCGGAGGCTTACAAGAGACAACTATCAAAATTAATCAAGGTAGGGAAACGAACTTCGAGTTTCGGCGTAGCCTGCGTAGCAAGCGTTTCCGCGCGAATTCGTCGAGAACGTCGGGACGAGAGCCAAAAAAATAAGGATTGACGGGGGAGGGGGAGGGAAAAGAAGGAACCGCTTGCCCGCAAACCCCACGATTTTGAAAAACTGCGTTCGCCCACGAACGCAGCTTCTGATTGGTGCGGTCCTGGTAGTGTTGATTACTTAGCAATCGAAACATCAGTCAACCCAGGTATGCTTTGTTTACGAGCGTCACAGATCTGGTCTCATCTGATTTGTGGTAGGCTCGATTACCAGCCGCTGTTCGGGAAAATGAGCCCGCACTCATCCCCCGAAAGAGCGGCTGGACGCGTGCGATTTCCTTTGTTGGTTTAAGCCAATCATGTTACCGCCTGCAGATTTTCGTCTGGCAAAGATTGTCGCAGAAATTATCACATCAAAACAGAAAGTCCTTCCTTGATCCATCGCATGGCGAAGCGATTTCGACGGCGCGGAGACACTAGGCGAAATTCTACCGTCTGAAGGAACACAAGGTTTTGTTCGATTGTTTGTTATGAACTTTTCTTTTAATGATTGTGGTTGTAGAAATTTAGCATCTTCAAGGATCTTTTCAAGGCACTTTAGGTCTCGACAACTGTGTTCGTTACAGATGTAACCGTCCACGTTTATATTTGACAGAGGAACATTCAATACGCTGGAAATTCTGTCTGGTAAATCAGAAACTTTTCCATTTAATTTGGTCCGCTTCCGAGAATCAGTTAGTTCGGACCCACAGAAATCCAACATTCGAAGATCAAAGAAAATTAACTACATGTCGGAGTGTACAGAAATGTACCGAAGAATCTTTTTCACAGTGTATGGAAATGTACTGAAAAAACTATTTCGAAAGTCATTTGGGTGGGTAAGGGAGCGCTTGATGCAATTTTGAGCCAAATAAATAAGAAAATTGGAGACCGGTTTCACCTCAGGTGATATCGGAGACGCCTAAATTATCAATTTTCACAGACAAGGTCAACGGGTCACGCGTCCAGCCGTCTCTCTTCGGGGAGGATCAAAGACCGGACCCGGGAGACGGCGGAAATCGAGCCTAATTTGTGGTCGCAGATTACAAATGCTTTGGACTGATATTTATTTGAATCGTGTTTGTACAAAGGTTTATGAGATCAGAGTCTTCAAAGTATATTTGGAGATCGAGCAGTGGAGACTAAGGAAGGCCAATTTAATGGGAATGACGGCGTGCGGATCTGACTGGAAAAAAGCAAATGGACTGTTTGTTGGATATAACATCAACGTAAATCAGAACATCAGTACTCAACACTGGCTAAAGGCGGCATAGACAAGCGATTTGTTAGCTTTTTGAAATGAAAAGATTCTTTTTGTTTATTGGAAATTTAGCGGCGTGTATTATAGAGAACGTTTCGACA